TGTCGTCGTTTCCCTTTTCCTTTCTTCTCTCTCTCTCTCTCTCTCTCTCTCTCTCTCTCGAAACGCGCGGTCGCGACTTTACGACCTCGTACAGCCCTCCTCGGTGTATCGGCGGCCCGCTCCTTCTCTCGTAATTTATCGTCGACTCGGAGGAGGGAAGGGAATAGAAAACTTTTACGGGCCTTTGCAACCAACGATCGCGCATTTTTATTAATCCACTTCCCAAATCGGGATTCGAAAACTCGGGGAGGGAATCTTGAAAACTCGCGAATCGAACAAAAAAGAAACTCGATCGGTCGTTTTATTTTCTTTTTTGTTTTTTTTTGTTTTTTTTGTTTTTTTTTTTTTGGAATTAAAGAGGAAGCGTGGTGAGTTATCGATCGTTTAATTTAACACGGATTCGAGGCGGTCAAAGTGTTAATTGGTTCGGCACAATTGAATCGCCACGCACGGTGTAATGGAGGGAATACATCGAGGCCAATGAGGATCCTTTATGCGATCGTGCTCGTCCCGTTCGACAATGCAACGATTCTTCTCAAAATTCTCGAAACGGATAAAGCAACAGTGATCGATTTGTGAACGGAATGTTTTTTATTCGACGAATAAAACTCGGCCGAAATAATTCACGTCCGTGAAAATTGATATCGTCCTCTACTTCGTTCCGCACTTGTGTGTGTGTGTGTATGTTTGCGTCTACCTTTTACGAGGTACCTCTTCTCCTCCTCTGATCCGCTCTCGAGATTTAAACCGATTTCATTTTCCGAATTTTGCGAACTTTCTAAGAAAGGGTAACGAGACGTAATAGAATTCGAATGGAACGAAAGGAATCGATTGATTCGTCGCGAATGAACAATGACGGTCGCATCTTTTTTTTCCCCGGTTCGTTAGCCGAGGGAAAAATATATCGAGGCGAGTCATTGAAACGCGATTTTATTAAAAATCGGCGACAAATGTCACGCCCGTCAAAGGATTTTAATTCGTTGCCGCGATTATTCACGATCATCGGATTCATCGACGAATTCGACCATGCTTCCCTCCTCCTCCTCCTCTTTCTCCGCCGATCGATATCATTTCGGTTCAACGCTCAAATATAACCGGAGCGTTTTATTTTATTTCTTATTTTTTTTTTTTTTTTCAATATTGTTTTTACAAGCGGCGAGAAGGAAGAACGGCTGGAAATCATTGTCGGTCATTGTTGGTATTCGGAGATTCCACCCTTCCTGGAAGGGGGACGCGACGTTAGCCGAACCGTAACCGGAAATACCTCGAGGCAAGTTCGGAAAATGGAAAAATAACGGACTTGGGCAGCAACCCTGTAAATTCTTTACAATCCCTACAATCTCGATTTTCATCCATTCTCGATCGTGCAAACGTGCATTCGGCCGCAAGTTGGCCGGAGGAAGGAAATTGTTCTTTTATTCCGCGATAATTCGCTTCTCGGCGAGTTGGATCGGTTGGGGGGAGAGGGAAGGGAATCAAGGCCGGAAGCGACGAATAGAAAAGAACGTCTTACCGGTCGGGGGATAAAGGAGAACTCACGGTATCTCCGCAATTGCACGAGACTCGTGGGGCTCGAAATAAAGAAAACGGAAGGAAGAAAAGGGTCCAGTAATTACTTTTCCATCCTCTTAATCGGTCCGCCCCACGGTCTCGCCCGAGATCGAGATTTCGAGATGAATGCCTCCTCCGTCCTTCTGGATCCTTCTTCTTCTTCTTCTTCTTCTTCTTCTTCTTCTTCTCCTCGAATCCGTCCTTTCTTCGATTTCGAGAGTTTCCGGAGAGTTTTGGTATAATTCTTTTTTTTAATCTTGGAAAACGGAAAGAAAGAAGGAGAAGAGATTTTCAAAGTAGTTTTGGGAGAGATTCGATCGGAGGAGAAACTTGTTATCGTTCGAAGTGGGAATAATAATTCGATTCGAAGAAAGAAAAGAAGGATAATCGCGATCGAAGCGAGTTTGCCGACGATGTTGCTATTTTCGTTAGAGTAGCAAGTTGGCCACGTTCGCAAGGAGTTATTAGTTCGACCGGACGTCGAAGGCTAATCTAATCGGGATTTATCCAAAGTTTCGTAGTTATTGCCGTGGTGTATTTCGAAACTCACGCGCTTTGCTTTGTTCCTTCCTTCCTTCCTTCCTTCCTTCCTTCTTTCCTTCCCTTAAATTACCGTACGGATCGTAACGAGATTATAAATCCGTATAAATGCGGAGAAATCGGACACAATGATTCATCTACTCGATTAAATTCACCTACTCGTGCCACTTGTAGTTGCTCGAGAATCGATCGATCGTTTACTTGTTACTTTACTTGCTACTTGTTAAGATGGAAGTTGTACGAGCCGCCTCGTCACCTCGTGAAATAACCCGTTTTAAAGCACGAGGGGAGGCGATTATCACGATCACGTGGTTAGAAAAGATGCTCGGCTCATTTTCTCCACCCCATTCCCCCCCATCGGCGAACGAAAATAAACGGGGCTTATTTTTTGCTTTGTTTTCTGCTTGCAGGAGTGGAACGATTACAAGCTGAAGTGGAACCCGGATGATTATGGCGGTGTCGACACCCTCCACGTGCCGTCGGAGCATATATGGTTGCCGGACATTGTTCTTTACAACAAGTAAGCCGCTCGATCTAATTATCGGTCACGCGACTTTTTCTTCTTCTCCTTTTTTTTTTTTTCACGGAAATTTAATCGGCCGTTGCCGCGTTGGATTAAAAAAAAAAAGAAAAAAAGAAGAAGAAACCTTAAAACGAAAGATGAAATTTCGATATCTTTTCTCTCTTTTTTTTTTTTTTTTGTTTCGAAGACGAAACAATCGAACGACGAGATTAAGAACGTAAATGACACGCTGACGAGATTAAAAAAGGAAATATAATTACGGTCGAGGATGGAGCAATTTTGCCGGGAGACGTGTTGCGCGATTCGGGCGCAATTTGTTCGTTGGACCGATTTTATTTTTATAACCGGAACGGTCGAGTTAAACAGCTGGTGGAAACGTTGGCGGATATTACACGGAGTACCACCGGTTCGATCTCGTGTGTGTATATATATCGTATCGAGTGACGGTTAAACGCGATGAACGAAGTTTAGAAATCGAAAAAGTTTCTCGAACGATTTCTTTCCACATATATTTATCTTATTATTTATTTAATCGAAGTATCGATCGAAAAATTCCCTTCGAGAAACATTAAATTTTCGAATATTAAAAATCCCTCGATTAACGGAAGACAGAGGCAAAGTGAAATTTTAGATTTTCGCCAAAAATTACATGCGCACGAATGGGAGGAAAGGAGGGGAAATAAAAGGGGTGAATTATCGTCGGGAGGAAGGGATATTCGAGAGAGAGTCCGGGATATTTCATCCGTTCTTTCGCGTTAATCTAGACCTACGTTGATTCCCTTTCTCCCATTCTTTTTCCGCCGGTGTATCGGGGGCACCAGTCACGCCGCCTCCTTCCTCGTCGTCCGTCACCTCGGTCCGGCCATACTTCATAGGATTTTAGCGGCAAGTGCGGGGCCACGGTATCATCTCGTAAACCGCCGTGGAATATTCCGCGCTGCTACGTGACGTTTTCACACAGAGAAAGAGAGAGAGAGAGAGAGAGATCTGGTAAGGCCATTTTGAAAATCCACGCCTGGAACGGGACACGCGTGTCCTAGCTAACGCTGAGAAATAGGATGTACTTCGCCCCGAGGACGACACTTTTACGAGTCGAAGTGGAGTGGAGTCGGGACGACGCCATTCTTGTACGCCTCTCGACCGACTTCGTACACGTTTATCTTATTTATGCTATACGGAGGACCGAAAAATCGTGGGTATCTTCGTTGGTATATTTCGGATCGAAACGAGTTATTTAACGTTTTCCAATCGCGAGGGAATCGGGCTTGGAACGAAACGTTGGTTTGAAACGTCGAGAAAGTTAATTGGCCCCTCTCACGAGTTCGCTCTCGAATCATCATTTCGCCCACCGTTTTTCTCTCGTTCGCTCGATCGAAAGTAACTCTCGGAAAGTTTTCACGGCACGGTACGGGGGAGACACTTGTGAAACTTGAGGAAGCAAATTGCGGGCACTGAAAAATTTTCGCCCTTTCGTTCTCCTCCTCTTTCCAAGGGAAAGAGGGAGAAAGAGAGAGCAACGCGTTCGAAGCGAGCGTTTTCTCCCCTCCTCCCTTCTTTGACGAGGGAGCGCCCGATCAAACTTACTCCTCCCGTCCCTCCCTGTTTGCGACGAGTGCGTCTCATTGTCGCTTCGAAACGTGACAGGCGTTCGGAGACGGCGAACGCTTTCGACGAATCCCGTCGAGTTTTATTTTTCAATTACGCACCGGAGTGGATCCGACACGGCCACGCGCGTGATAAATCATAAAGAACGGCAACGGTGTTCTCCAAGTCGAAACTCTCGACATACATTACGCCCGTTTCAATTACTCGTAGCGTAGAGGAGGAGAAGGAGGAGGAGGGAGGGAGGGGGATGAATCGATTGTCCTGGCGGCGCTTCGAAAGGCTCAAAGTATCGGTGGCTTTGTGCGCCCCGACAGCATGCAAATGCAACCGCCCCCACCTCCCCTCCCAAGAGGAGGGGGAGGGAAGGAGAGGGAAGGGGGACAGAGAAGAGAAGTAATTTGTATGGAATATTCGAATCTGATTAATAATTCACCGAGGTTCCTGGAACTTTGCCCGGAGGAGGAGGGGAGGAGGAGGAGGAGGTTGCGTTGAACGGAAGGGGAAGGGGAACGGTCGAGTCGCAGTCGTCAGTCTCTTCACCCTTCTGAAGGGCTCGAAAAGGGGCTCATCCTTGGCTGATTTCAGGATATCGATATCGTATAATCGCTGCATTGTCGAAGGATGAATTTTGATGGACGTTCGCCCCTATTTCAATCCCAACCCCCCGAAGACCCGGTGACCGTGTTCCTTTGACGCGATCCTCCGCGAATCGAATTTTAACCCTGTGTGTCGAGTGAGGGCGACTCGAGGCTGTTTAATAACCTGGTCACGGCTTTATCCTTTATCGACGACGGAGGGGGCAGGGAGAGCGAATTATTTATCAACGCGGAGGAGGGAAGAATACGAAAATTTTCGAAAACGAGACAATTCGTTCGATATCGTTGGAATTCGTTGTCGAATTCGTTGATTGATCGATGTCTATTCTCCGGTTGAGAAGAAGGACGCGTACGTGGACCTTGTATCGAATCGAAATCAAGTTGCCCTCTTCTCCTTCTCGACTCCTCCGCGTCGACAAAAGTTTCACGATTCCCCTCGATGATGATATCGATTTTAACTCTCTCCCCCTCTCTCGTTATTACACCGTTTACCCTTTGACTGGAAGGACGCCTCCTCGAAAGAGAATAAGAAAATGATTTTCATCGAGAGAGAGAGAGAGAGAGAGAGAGAGTCGAAGTAAAAATTAAAAGCTCGGCTACGAAAAGAGTTGTAATTTAGTAACTTTATTA